AAATGCAGATTCTCAGATGGCTTCTCAGAAGATGCATTTTATAACTGTGACTGTGTAATGGGATGACTGTCAAGAATGTGCAGGTAAGAACAATAGCCCATTAACTGTTAAGTAGCATTTCAAATCTATACAACTAGTTATTGAAAACTATTCGAGACAATCAGAAACCATGTATCTTCATAATAAATTAGTATTCGATTGTTGTTTTTCTCTGGCTATAATATAGAGTAGTTCTACAGTATTGTAATCTTAAAAATCTTACCTGTGAGGCTCATAGAAGAGGTATTCCATGATCCTTTAGTGAGGATTCTTGCTAAATCTGAATCTGGTAAAATATAAGTCTACCTTCCCTGAATTAATCATAAAATAAAATTTATTATCCAAACTGGGACACTTGTGAGGGTGAAGGGGAACTAATAATGTCTACTACTTTTCTTCTAAGTACAAAGTCACCCTAAAGTAAGGTGACCGGATTTTAACATTGGTAAAGCAGGACACCATTGACGGGGTGGGGGGTGTGTGTTCCTAATTAAAAATTTGGTCTATATGGCGCAACAAAAATTTTCATAGAATGCAAAAATAGTATTGTAATAGATATTTTTTAAATTTCAACATAAGTACAGTTTACAAATATAATACATTAAAAAAATTATGTATATGGCGGCGCCTGTGGCTCAAAGGAGTAGGGTGCTGGCCCCATATGCCAAAGGTGGTGGGTTCAAACCCAGCCCTGGCCAAAAAAAAAAAAAAAATTATGTATAGTATTATTTTATTCTTTGGCATATTTCTCATTTGAGTGAATTTTTTTTAGTAGATTGCTGTTGTTTAAAAGGTCATGAAATTTTTCACAAGAATTTGTTAAATTATATTTCACACATAAAATGGCTTTCAAAGTCTCAACACTTGATTGTGATTTTTCTGATGTCCACACTTTATTTACCTTAGAAAAAATGCGGTCAGTCGCAGCATTAGTTCCTGGTAAGGACAGCACATATCCCACAATTATTGTACATTATTGTATGAAACATAGTTTGTTTCAAAATGATGAAATATTTCTAAACATTTGTTCTGTATTGTGATTTTTGCTGATGCCCAAGATTTAACCTTTTCCTTATCAATATATTTTTTTGATTCTTGAATTCCATATCTGGCATATGGTGTGATCAAGATTTAACATTTTCCTTATCAATATATTTTTTTAATAATGATACCTTGTTAAGTCATAAGTGTCACTTTCAAGGATGGCACTAGACATTTTGCCGCCACTATAAAATATAAATAATACGAGTACTGTCTGCTAAATTCATGAAATAAATTACTTAAATTATCTGAATAGCTGATTTATTGACATCATTTGTTTAACTATCACTAGCATGCAGTACGATGTGTATCATCTGAGAGACAGTTACAAAATGTTTTCATGGGTGTCAATGCCAAAAAATGCCATTGTTCATTAAGTTCAAACAATGGTGGTCAAATTCTAACAACTGATCAACAATGCGAACTTTGATAAGCAGTTCTCAATAATCAGTTCTCAACAATTATTTGTTATTATTAAAGTTTAACATCATAAAATTAACAAACATAATATAAAACTCATATCCTGGTGAAATAGCCACATGGCAGTTTTGGGACCAGAATTGCCGCTGAGAGACCACCACACACATGTAAAGACAAAAAGTGCTTTATTTTGCAAACATATGCCTGGGCCACTCTTCTCTTCAGCATAGCTGGAGTAAGGGCAACCCCCTAGTGAAGCGAGCTGAGGTTTTTAAAGCTCATAGAGGAATTTCATAGGGTATTTTGTCTGGCCGGGCTGCTACTGGCTGAGCTGTTTATGGTTAGGGAGCCTCTGAGGGGGGGTCTACTTGTTTGTTCCAGACAGTTTGGCTCCTTCTGAGCTCAGTGTCCTTGCCTAGAAGCGAGGGAGGGAGCCAGTCTCCTTCTGATATTGATTCCACCCGGGCGACCTTGCCCAGGAGGGGAGTAGGGAGTTTACATTAGCCTTTTCATTTCCAAATGAAGTTACATTAACCTCTTCATTCCCAAGTGGAATTACATTAACCTTTTCAGAAGCTGAAAACTGTATATTCCCTTCCGGTTGTCCCTTGTCCTGCTGTTCCCTAGCTTGTCTTGTCATGCATTCTTTCCAAAAATCAAGACTTTTTAAAAATGCCATGGGACGTGGGATAAATTATGAAAAATTAGGACTGTCCCACCAAAAGCAGGACGTCTGGTCACCTTACCCTAAAGTGAGGATTCAGTTATGAAGAGAACACCTGCTAATGGACAGAAGATTTGCATTCAAATCCCAGAATACCACTTTGAAACTATGACCTTGACCAAATTATTTCCTTCTTATTTGAACCTTAGGTTCATCATCTGTAAAATAAAGATAACAATATCCATTTTAGAGTCATTTGTGGATAAATGAAGTGAACTAAATACATTTGAAGGTGTCCCACAATGTCAATAAATTGTTAAGCACATGGAGTTACACACCTAAATTATGTTACACACATAAATATGAAGGAAAACATTATGAGACATATCATCTTAACAGCAACTAGAGTGATATTCTGGATACTGGAAGATTGCTTTTGATAAAAAAAAAAAATGAAAAACAAAAAATAAAAAACCCTGCCCCTTTAAGAGCTCTCTGGTTCTGATTTCTTGGCAGTGTTCTGGATCGTTCCTCAGTAGACACAGGCATGACAACAATCACTATTTGTGGGAGAATAACCCCTACAATTGTCTTTATTGCTAAATTATACATTAAAAAAAAAACAACTCTAATCCTATTACCCTTAGTACCTATATAATTAGCCTGATTTGGGGGAGCACTGTTGTACTATATTCTTACTACATACTAGCCACTGTGTTAAGTCCTCTGCCCCATCCTTGGGCACTAACACATGGCAGGTTAACACCAGTATCATCTCACAGTGTGAGTGTATGGAGGAAGCCTGTGTTGGAACATCAGGACCCTGAGGTAATGGCCTAGTCACTAGCGACATAACTTGGGCAAAACACATCTACAAAAGGAGAGATAGATTAGATGATCATTAGGACCCCGTGCGCTCTGGCCCTCTATGATTCTAAGACATCCATGGCATTTTACAAGTCTAGATGATTGATTTCTTGAATATTTTCCTCCACATTTTCTTGTCCTTTCTCAAAACAGAAAAGGTTTAAGTACAGTTTAGCAGAAACAGACATTTGATGCAGAGATTTAAAGCAGTTTAAGAAAACATTAATAATGAAATACACAGATAAAATAGCTGCTCCATTAAAAAACATTTATTCTTTTTCACATGAAGTGAAATTGCAGTTGTAAACATGAACTAAGAAACATTTGTTTTACAAGGTAACTTGCTATATGACGAGGACCTTATGTTGCTAGACAAGATGGTGATTAAAGACTTTAACTTCTAAATCCTACAATTCTGAGACAGTCTTAGCATTTTATGCATCCAGATTTACAGCCATATTTTTTTTTTTTGATAATTTCTCTAACATCTTCCAGTCTATTCTCATTACAGAAGAAAACGTTTTGCATACAGTTACAGAAACAGAGATATTAAATAGAGATTTAAAGTAACCTCAAAATACATTTACAAGGAAATATACAGATAGAAGAGTTGCTGAGTCAGGAAACATTCTTTTCAATGTAATGAAATTGAGACTGTGACTATGAACTGAGAGGAACATTTGTCTCACATGGTAACTCTGAATTCTTTTAATTTTGAAACTACAGACATGTACAGACTTACAGAATTTACACAATGCTATATTCAAAATAGTTTTTAACTTCTAAGAATTAAAGTTCTCAGTGACAAGCTTTAGATGTGTAATTTAAGCCCACTGGATATCAACTTCATCACAAGAAGCAACTACATACAGTTTCCCCCATCCCCAGCACAAGAAAGAAAACTAGAAACTTTTTAAAGCAATAAACTCTCCAAAATACAAATGATTAAACTGAAAGAACACATTTACAAATAAACATAAATTTTCAATTGTTCAACTGAAGCAAGTGACTTAATTTGCATATTAACTCCTTTTCTTACTACTTCCTGATTTCTGATTGTGGGAAGTTTGGTTTGTTGTTACTGTTTTGAGACAAGGTCTCCCTCTGTTGCCTGGGCTAGAATGCAGTGGCATCATCATAGCTCACTGTAACCTCAAACTCCTAGGCTTAAGCAATCCTCTTGCCTCAGCCATCCAAGTAGCTAGGACTATAGGCGTGCACCACCACAGCTGGCTAATTTCAAAAATTTTTGTGGAGACAGGGTCTTGCTATGTTGCCCAGGCTGGTCTCAAACTCCTGGTCTCAAGTCATCCTCCTTCCTCGGCCTCCCAAAGTGCTGGGATTACAGGAATCACTGTGCCTGGACTGATTCTGGCCATATTTATTCTGCACCTACTGTGCAAGACATTGGGAACATAAAGATCAGATAAGGTCCAGTGGTGTGCAAAAAATGTTTAACAATCAGCTCTTAAAGGGAAGTCTTTACTTATAGCATTTACCAATTGCTATGGTGTTAATACTCCCAGTATGGCAGATTTCAAGCTACCAATAATTTAACAACTGGCTCACAGAATTCCTGAAACTAAAAATCATCTCTCACAAGCCATTGTAAGTCAGCTCCAACATACCACTGTAGAATCTCCACCCTCGAGTAGCTCATAATCTCTTCATGGGTACATACTTTAAAGAATAGAAAAGAATGGGGAAAATAGAGATAAAATTTAAATATTTCAATTATATTTTTGTAGGTAGTTTTAAAAGTTAATAGGAACACTAAAATCTGTGGCATTTTCCTATTTTTCTTCTTTACTATTCCTTTTTTCCTCTTAAACTTATTTTAGGAAATCTTGTGGGAGAGGAAAGGATGAGTGGAGAAAGAAGAAAAAAGACGAGAAAAGACATCCTAAGAAATACATATAATTTCTGTGTATTAACAGTTATGTTTACATTAGAAGAAAAACCCCACTAAGAGCAAATATGATGTAACTATTAAAGTTACATCTTCTTTAAGCCCCTGTAGTCAGTTACAAGTCCTGAACATCTGTTCTGACCCCTTTGGCTATGGTTCTGATGAAATTAGCTAGCTTTTTCAGCACTATACTAAAGAGCACACAGCTGTACAACACTCGCACAATCAGCTCATAAGAAAAGGCAGATCTAAATTCTGGAGTCTGAAAACTGATCTTCCTTTATAGTCACCTCCCTTGTATTAGATCTTGGGCAACTGCCGGCTGGGGTGACCAGGGAATTCTTCTGGTAGCAAAACGTGAAGTCTGCAGGTTGGGCATGTCCCCTGTTGCATCAACCATGGTCTGATGCACTAAGCAGCAAAAAGATTTATGTCAGTCTCTCAGATTTAGCCTTAGCAGAGGCAGATGTGCCACTCTCTCTCTATATATATTAGGGTTACCAAACAATCTATTTTCTGGTGGATCTTTAAACTGCTATAATGATGGCACTTTCTTTGCGGTTTTGCTAAGCAATATAGCTGGTAATACCTTTTTTTCCCTGGAGACAGGGTCTCGTTCTGTTGTCTAGGAAGTGGCATCCATATACCTCACAACCTCAAAATCCTGGGCTCAAGTGATCCTCCTGTCTCAGCCTCCTGAGTAGCTAGCATTAGAGATGCGTGCCATCATGCTTAACACTAATTTTTCTTTTTTTACTATTGTAGAGATGAGGTCTCAGCTGGACTCAAAATTCCTGGCCCCGAGTGACCTTTCTGACTCATCCTCCCAAAGTGCTGGGATTACAGGTATAAGCCACCACACTTGGCCTAGCTGTTAATATCTCTTAGCCAGTTTATTCTATTAGGATTCTTTCTTCAACCCCAATATTCCAGATGGCTAGCAATTCTTCCTGACAAGAAAATTGGAGAATCTTGCTATATTCCCTCTTTATTATATATTATTTTCATTTATAATCCAGAAAAAGTTATAACTAAACATATAAAAGCCACCAATACCTTATATCACATATTGACAATGTTTTGAGGTTAAAATCCCTAAATAATGAATATACTCAGATTATTTTCTTTAGTAATGATCTTTGACAGCAGACTTTCTATTAAGTCATTTGAGTATTGATTCTTTAAAAACCATTTTTATCTATATGAATAACTAGAGAGCACAGTCTGATAGGATTAAGAATGGGGCACTATATATGAGGCCTACTAATTCTAATTTGTAACCTGAATGAATTATATAATTTGTAGTCAATAAGCATTGGCAAAGAATAAAATGTTTTGTTAAAGATGTATTTTCTAAAATTGTTGGGAACGTAAAACTTCCAATGGGAAAGTAAGTGACTAAATGTCTTTCCTGGAGAACTTTTGGGATTAGGCATTTTGTATCTGTCTCTTCCTATCAGACAAGATGCAAAATATAATTGTGTCTTCCAGGTCCCACATGGTATTTCTCTGAAATGTTGTTCTACAAACATAGCTTGACTGAGCTGGCTATTGTTCACATCCATGAAAAGGCTTTTTGTAAAAGATTATCTTTTCCTGTGTCAAATTATATCTCTGCAACAGAGAACTTGAGTCATAAATTATAAATCAATAGCAAATGCATGGTAGCAATCGCAGGAATTAATCCACATAAATGCCAAAAGTCAACAAAAGATATGCTAGCCTCACATTTTCCTAACGTCAAAACTCAAGCCTGTGGGCAGTGCCTGTGGCTCAAAGGAGTAGGGTGCTGGCCCCATATGCCAGAGGTAGTGGGTTCAAACCCAGCCCAGGCCACAAAAAAACTGCAAAAAAAAAAAGAAAGAAAGAAAAAAAAAACTCAAGCCTGAGCATCTTCAAAAGCAAATATAGGCGCCTGAACACACTGCTAAGTCTTATGCTTTAAAATGACAAGAAGTCATAATTACTTGTGGACAAAAGATACTATGCGGCGGTACTCATAGCACACCAAGGTTAAGGGTTGCTGCTGCTAGTTCCGCTACTAAACTACCCTGTGCATCAACATTTCTCCCAGTTGTGTGCAACTGAACATGGTGCCTACTATGTACCACTTAAGTCTCAACATTTTCCCCTTCTCCTGTAAGGTATGTGAAGATCTGAGAAAGCATAATGGAATCTATGGCTATGGCTATGATGGGAAAGATGTAAATGTTTCTGTGTTGCACCCAAAGTGGAGTTATACCCAGTGGAACTCATGACACAACAAAAGATGATGCCACATGAATATGATTTGAAGTTTAAGTAAGGTAGTATGAGGCTTGCTGAACTGATTAGTGACAAAATATTACAGGAGAAGTGTAAAGGGTTACCTGAGAGTGGAATTTGTGAGCACAAGGCAAAACTGAAAGGTTTTCTGGAGACAGATTCTCATGGCATATCACACAAGGCTCTTCTTCCTCTTCCTCCTCCTCCTAAAAAAATCCATATGATGTTATGTTTAGCTCTTTTTTTCCTCCCAGCTCGAACTGTGTTCAGAATCAACAACTTTATTCTCACCAAACTATTGGCTCCTTCCCATGTGGCAGAACCTTGTGAACTGAGAGGCCTCCAGGAGGGTTTTGGAGGCTGTGCAGCATTAGGCTGTGATGGAGAATGGCTAGGTGAAGCACAATTACCATTTGGCACTGATTTTCCTTGACTCTGAAAATAAGAATATAACATTTTTTTAGAACTGTTTTAAAATAGTAGGATTAGAATAGCAGAGAAAGCAGTATAGCAAGAATTAGTTAAAATGATTGTATTTGTAAGAAGCCTTGATACAAAATGCTGACAATCCTTATATATTCAGAGCTAGATAAAAACAAAAGTAACTGTATATATTCTTTTACCTAAAATATCTTTCCAGAAAATTAGAAAAGGATGTCTTCCTTTAGAATTCAAAGCAAACTAGAGTAAACTTCAAGCGGACCAGCTCTATTCTAGCATAATCAGGTGGTGGGAAATACAAACAGACTTCCTATATTGTCAAGTTGAAGTTATTACATTGTTTACTGTTAACAGATGATTTAATATGAATAGAAGTTACCAGTTTTCTGAACAAGGAGATAATTAAAACTGTTTACTACTAGAGATAAGGGTAGAGAGAGTCTGAATTTGCTTTTTTTTTTTCTTTTTTACCTGAGCTCTCTTGGGTTCGATAAATTGGGAAATCTTGTAAACAATTTCATCAAATGTCAGTCCAGATAAGGACTTCCCATGAGCATCCTTCAATTTTCGTAAAAAATCCATAAGCTCCTTTCTGGAAGAAATCATGGAAAGAGCAGTGGTGATTTCAGGATGTGCCCTCCAAAGGAGATATAGAATCCTAACATGTGTAGCATATACATGTGACTTGAGATCTTTCTCTAATCTGAAAAAGTGATTAATTTTTCAGGCCTATCTTAATTTATCCTAAAACAAAATGGAAACTCCTAATTGTATTCATTAATGATATGTAATGTACTCATGAATCTGATAAAGTTATTTTTTCTTCCCCCAAAAACTGTTTTTGAGAGCTCACTATGTGAAACTCAGGTTTATCTACTTCTTTATGCATTGAGCTCTTTATATCACATTTCTCAAATGTTCTCTTATTCAAGACTAAAATATTCCTTCTCAACTATGTTGCTATTGATTTCTCTCCTCTTCATCAGCATTAATAGTTTTACTTTTATAAAACTCATAAACAGAAAACAAAGATTAAAAAACCAGGAAAGCAAAGGTTAAAAGATACATTAATTATATGAAGAGGGAACCAACAATTATTTTAATTGATATGTTCCTATTCAATTTCCAAGATCTGCTATTTCATATTGCCTAAATATTTACTTTGTCCTGCAAAAACATAGACAAAGGCTTTATGTTTGTCTACATTTTTAAAGGACAAAGTAAATATTTAGGAAATATGAAATATTTTTCTTTCTCAAATGAATCATCATGACATCAGCCTCATAAACTTTTAGATTTACAATTATTCTTTATATATATATTTATAACAACTAAAGTTCTATTCCTACTACTATTATGAAATTTATAAAAGCATAATCTAATATTAAAGCATGACAGTATGTATATTAAATGAAAGTGTTAGTGTTCAAATGAAAATACTGGTGAAAACTACAGTTCCTTAGATATGAGTAGAGATAAAAGAAATTTCATTTGTTATGAGTAGAATTAAATATCTTCCTGCCAAAGTCACATAGTAAAGAGCACAGTAAAATTATGATTTCTTGCATTTTACTGTGTTTCCTAACAACAAAACTATAAGGACCCTCGATAAAATTAAGAAAACAGGAAACTAAAACCTAGAGATGTTTGGGCTTATGTAACATACAATCAACTTAAAATTCACTTTGAAAACAGGTCATTAAGATAATTATTGCAGCTGGTGACATTTGGATAGGTTTAAAACTAGTTGCACTTTAAGTAAATGAGAAAATCTAAATTTAAAATTATTCTCTCATGATTTAAGACTAGTAACTTTAATGAAGAAGTTTAGCATTTCTTCTTTACCAAGGCCAAGGTAAGAAGTATCTGTACTTTTTGTGTATGCGTGGTTTGTGTCTCTGAAATGTTTCATCATCATATTATGGCCATGGAAACTGTAGAATATGATCTGTACTCACCACTAAATAAAAATTAAGGTACCTGGTCTGTTGTGGAAAGGCGGTTTTCAGCCTATCTGTAATCCTCTCCCAGTTCATCATGGAGAGATCACTTCCCAGACTTGGGCTGGGAGGCACAGCCTCTCCCACAGGCGTTGGCATAGTCCAGGCTATGCCAGTCATCTGGAAGGAGCACAGAGTTATAATTTATCAGCATCACTTACTAAGAAGTGACATTCCATGCCAAGAGGACACTTCCCATATCTCATAAAATGTATAGAATGAAGAATAATACTGACATATATATTATCTTTTTATAGATTTTTCTTAACTAATGAAAACAATATTTCTAATTATTTATAACTATTTTAACTTATTTTTAAAATAGGGCATAATTACCTTAGTAATTACACATAGGTACAGAAAAACATGAAGGGTGTTTATTGCTGTTTTTTGATAATAGAGAAAAACTGAAAACAACCTTAAAACTATTATTAGGGGAATGAGTAAATAAATTATGGCACATCTGATCAAGTTCTAATCAGGGGTTCTCAAACTTTTTAAACAGGGGGCCAGTTCACTGTCCCTCAGACCGTTGGAGGACCGGACTGAGGACCCCAGGACGAGTCAGCTGCTAAGCAGGACAGGCAGTGGCGTCAAAAACACCCGGTGGCCAGATAAATGTCCTAGGTGGGCTGCATGTGGCCCACGGTCTGTAGTTAGAGGACACCTGCTTATGTCTGGGCATAAGAGATGTCCATGAAATATGTTTAGTACATTTTTAAAAAAGCCTATGGCAGAGTATTTATGGTATGACTCCTTTTATATTAAAAAATGTTTAAAGCATATGCATATATACATATGTATAAAAGTCTAAGCTATATAACTATAAACAGTGATTATTTCCAAGGGATTCAATTGTAGAGTAATTTTGGTTTCTAACTCATACATATCTGTATTATTTGCATTTTTTATGATGAGCACATATACTTTTATAATTAGAAAATAAAGTTAAATTTCAAACAACAAAATAAAGACAGGAATGCTTCGAACTGTCCAAAGTCCCACAAATGCCATAGTCAAAGGTGGTAAGGAAGTTGTAGTGATAACCTCTGAGCCATGAAACAAAACAGTTTTCCTCATATTTTATAGCAATTCTTTCTTAGAACCATTAAGATTTGAATTAATTAAAATACCAATAAGTGAATTTTTTAGAGTGCTAATCTGATGACTAAGATAATTATAAACATGGACTCTACTTTCAAACATTAGGTAATTATTTATAAAAAATTAGCAGTTACTAACCTTCATTGGAATAACTTGTACAAAGCCTAATAAGTGAGAAGAATGGAATACTGCCCAGAAATCTGAATTTGTAGCAATATCAAGCTTTTTCCAAGGAATAAGAAAGTAATTTTATTAGGTTAGGTATTTTAATGTTTTCAATAAAATTGTATTATAGTTCCTCACAGAATGATGGACAAGCAAACTGCCTAAGTAATAATATAGTAGTATCACGGTGAAAAAAAGATATGGTACTTATTTAATATGTTAAGGCCTTTATACATATTTGTTTATAGACAGATTTATAGACGGTACAAAAACAAGCAAAGTCAAAGTCCATCTGATCTGGCCTTAAAAAAGGAAGAGAAATAATTAGCTAGGCCTAGAATGTACTTATAGGAAAGTCAAGATTTGAGAATTTTGCATTAATTATATCTAACACCAACACCATTATTTGGAAGGACATTTCTCTTTTAATAAAAAAATTTACCTTAGCCAAAAATTACAACTAATAATTCCAGTATAAAGTTTATCTAACTATTTTTAGCTAGGAAGATTTGTAACTTTACAGTATATGTTCCAAGATGAGCTATTTATACTGTCTGTTTATAGATACAGTTCAAACACTGTCCTGTGTGTATGTATGCATGTGTATGTAAATAAAATTTTTCTTTAGCTTTGTGGTATAATTTAGTTTATTGTGACTCACCTTCTTTGCTTTTCAATTTACCAACAACCATACTAAAAATAATCTCTTGATATCATTTTACCTACATCATTGACTATTATGGAATAAAATTATAACTCTCTAGTTAGACTCTCTAGTATAAAAAATGTATTTATCTCTGTATCCCCCAATTATGCTAGTATTAGTTAAATAATACATGTAATATCTTTGCCGCAGGGCTTCAAGGAAAGAATTTATTTAATTATCATCATCAGTACCATATAACTCATTATTAGCCATACCAAATAAATGAACAAAGAGAAGACATTCATTCATTCAGGAAGTGATGAAAAACTAGTTATGTCTATTCCATCAAGAAAGGTTCTTACCAGGGGGCCTCTAGGTTGGGCAGGTGCAGAAATGACTCCAGGGCAAACTGCAGGCATTTGAGGAACAGTAAGTATGGGTCTAAAGAAAGATTCCTTCACAAGGGGTCTTCCCAAGAACTGCTGCATCTAAAATTGAAAAAGTAAAAAGTTAAACAAAAAGACCATACACATTTATGTATCTAATGTAGGAACTTCTCTAAATTCATAAAGCAGTACATAAGGGGAAACAGTGATTTGAGATACAGATACAAAGCATACTAGAAACAATGTGTGTCAGAATCTTAGGTAAACATACAGATATCTGAAAGAAGCAAAGGGAAATGAGATACACAAAAAAGGGCACTGAGAAACAGGAAAGAATTGGATTCTAGTTCCATTCATCTCTACCTAGCTGGGTAACCCTGGATGTCCTCTATAAAATGAGAGGGTTAGGTGAGGTGATCCCCAAGTTTCCTTCCCAACTGTAATAAAACACAGCTATGGAGAGGGGATTGATTCTATCCTCACTGACTGTTCTCAGGGAATGCTATCTATGTTGGTGGACACAACTGGTACTCAGAAATTTTACAAAAGAATTCAAAGCTATCCATAAAAATGTTTTTTTCTCTATTATGTGCTAGAGGTACCACTTGATGAAATACCAACTTTATGTTTAGCTCCAAGGAGAGGAGAAGGATGAAGTGGGGTAGACCTAGGGGATAAATTATCCTACAGTGACTTACAGATATGCTTGTTGGTATTACTGTACTTCCCAGGGGGTTGTAGAAAACTAGACCTTATAAGCAGTTATGGATGGGAAGAATACTTTGTTGGCTGGAGTACGGAAAAGAACAGATTTATTCAAATACGTACCATGTTCCAAGCCTGGCATAAGGAGTAGTTCAATAACAATTTAAGTAAAACATGAATAATATCAACATCTAAGTGATGATCCTAAAACTAGCATGTAAAAGGTAAATGGGGAACTTTTCAATGGAAGATTGGGTTTATATTTAATTCTTAACATCACCAAAGAAGAGACATTAGATGCCTTCTAGGTAAGAAAAAGACATTTTGAGACAACTGAGGAAATATAAATTTTAACTATATATTAGATATAAAAATTACTCAAAATTTTCTTAGATAATGGTGTTATGATTAAATCTAATAAGAATTCTTCACCTTTTAGGATATATCCTGAAGTACAAATAGATAAAAATATATGCTATCTGGGGTTTTCTTTAAGATATTCCAGTGGAGAGAAATAAGGGGATGATGTAACTTCATTTCCTTAGGCTACGTGCCCAGTAGTGGAACTATTAGATCACATGATAGCTCTAGTTTTAATGTTCACCTTCCCACTAACAGTGTACAAGGGCTTGCTTTTCTCTGCATCTTCACCAATGTATTTTATGTCTTTTGTCTTTTTAATAATAGCTATTCTAACTGGAGTGAGATGTTATCTCCTAGTTTTGATTTGCGTTTCCCTGAATTTTTCCAGTCTATGACCATAGGATGTCTTTCCATTGATTTGTGTCCTTCTCAATTTCTTTCATCAATGTTTTACAGTTTAAACAATATAGTGATCTTTTAACTCCTTGGTTAAATTTATTTCCAGGTATCTTTTTTTGGTAGCTTTGTATAAGGAGTTGCTTTCTTGATTTCTTTTTAGATAGTTCACTATTAGTGCATGGTTTTTGTAAGTCAACTTTTCATACTGCAACCTTACCAAATTCATATTTTAGTTTTAAGGAGGTTTTGGTGGAATCTTTGAGATTTTCTATATGTAAGACCATGTTGTCTGCCAACTGGGATAAGTTGACTTCCTCTTTTCTGATCTGGATGTCTTTTATTGCTTTCTCTTGCCTCACTGCTTTGGCTAGGACTTCCAGTACTATGCTGAATACAAGCAGGCATCCTTGACTTGTTCCAGAACTTAGTAGAAAAGCTTTCAACTAGTCTCCATTTAGTATGATGTTAAGTTGTGGGTTTGTCATACATGGCCTTTATTGTCTTGAGGAATACCTAATTTGCTAAGAGTTTTTATCATGAAGCAATGTTGAATTTTATCAAACGTTTTTTAGCATCTTTTGAAATGATCATATGATTTTCATCCCTCTTTCTGTTGATATGGTGTATCAATATCACATATACTAATTTGTTTATCTTAAACCATCCTTGTGTCCCTGGAATGAATTCCACTTGATCATACTGAATGATATTTTTTAACACTTGAGAATTAAATAGCCATGGTATAAAAACCAAGATATAATGAGAACAGTCCGTATTAGGTTAGATTTTTCAAGTTAGACTATTATTATGTTTAAGTCTCGTGACTTAACACAGAATACTAGAATCTCAGAGATAGATCAGATCATCTAGTACAATTTCCTAACTTATTCATGGGAAAACCAAAGTCCAGAACAGCTCCTTTTCTAAAGACCAATATAGCTTTTCAGAAAGTTAAGATCTGAAACTCAGACCTCTCTAGTATACTTTTAACACCACCTCAATTTATAACCAATAGCACTGTAATATTTCTAGCCATTTTGCTTTCAACCTCTCTTTTCTGAAATTTGATGGTCATCAACACTTGCACTTTAACACAACCGTTAGCTTAGTCAAGTGCAGCAGTGATTCTGGTTTAGGAAGCACAAAAGATAGGTGTGTATCCCTCCAGGCTGTTGGCAAAGGATGCTTATGAATTACCAGATAGCCTAACTGCCAGTGGGTTTTTGCTTTTAACTAAACATGGGCAAGCCACATCAAACACGAGAAAGTCTGCAAAGCAATAAAGGTAGACGCTCTGGAGGTCAAGGTTTGACTGTTTCCCAGCTACAGAATATAACTAGCATTAAGCAACCAAAGCTTATGTGGGTGTGGTTCTGGGAAATGCTGAAGAATAATTCTGTACCTAGCTCATGGTCTCTGGAGCTGTTTTATATTTCGAGTAATGGGAGAGTTTAATTACAATCTAAGGGGAATATTTTGAATATGGGCAAAAGGTCCAGGTTTTTAGACATTCTACCCAAAATACATGTGACTGCAGGGATTTCTCTGTCAGTTACTTAACACATTCCTTATCAGGGTGATTTGGTATGATGATGATCCAAGCCTAGAATAAGGATGTTCATAAAATACTGCTCCTATAGAAACTGACTTGACCAAAAGGATAAAAGCAATAGTATCATTCTAAACTAAAGCCCATAGTATATATCACAGAATTCTTTTAGCTCTAGACGCTGCTTTTGAAATATATAGTATAGCTCCATCCAACCATATAATTTTTAAGTTCTTTTTTATATTAAGTTCTCTGAGATAACATTTTCAGAGTTCTAGTACATGCAGGAGTCCTGATCAAAAGTTATCTGTCCACAAATATCTTATACTTTATTATCATTAGGTGATGAAATGATCACCTAATGATACCTTCTTTTCCAGTTTTTTTTTTTTTTTTTGGCCAGGGCTGGGTTTGAACCTGCCACCTCTGGCACATCGGACCCGTGTTCTACCCTTTTGAACCACAGGTGCCGCCCTAATGATACCCTCTTAAAAGGTCTTTTGAAAAGTTGTGTGAATTTACTGCGTTAGGGTACGATGTTTCCGAGAAGGGTAACATGAATAGTATAGCATAGAGCACAGTCTATCTGATTAAGATTCATTGGTACCTACCAACCAACAGAGAAGGAGTGTAAATGGAAGCTGTCCTTGCTGTTGAGGGTATGATAGAATATAAAATTTAAAGAAAAGAAAGTCTAATGTAGAAGGGGAGGGGTAAAGTCCAGCCTTCTAGGGTATAATGCTAAAATGCTTCACTTATCTATTGGTAACATGATGGCACTGGGAATTCTGAGTATTCATCAGTTATATCTCCCACGGTGTAGGTGAGATTGATGGATAAATGAGAGGGACTATCACTCTCATCCCTAACATCCAGCAACACAACCTACTGTCTAGGCCTCAGCTGAGCCGACCAGCTAATTATACCATCTGGTGACTAGTAGGTGTGGTCATAGTGTACTTCTTCCATTTTGAACACACAGTAAACATGCTGCACATTCAGTGTAGTATAGCCCTTACCATTTTGTCAAAATGAAGAAATAATTGTCACTTTTTCAAAATGTCTTATTTCTTACCAATATCTCAGGACTGGGTGGTGGTGGAGGAAGCTGGACTGGAGGCAAGGTACTCAAGGCAAACCCTTGCTTTACCTTGTTTATTTGTTCATTGTACTGTGTCTGGTGGAAGAAGAGTAAAAATGTTTTAGAACACAATCAATTTATAGAAACAGCATATGGAAATACTTGACATAGTTTTGAATAATACAATATAGAATAGTGGTTCCTAACCTATAGCCAGGAATAATATAAAAACAGCTCTGATACAAAAATAATTCTATAAGCTACACATGTAAATAGTCATATTTACATCTACACATGTAAATAGTCATATTTCAAAAAATGTCAATTGACAAAAAACAGATACATAATTCACGGAACTGTGTGAAAAATTTTCCTAGTGTTTCTAGCTCTGAGGTAGAAATCACTGATACAAAATGAAAAAAGAGTCTAAAGATTCAAGAAGCTACATATACTACCTGTAAAAAGAGTCCCAAACCAAATTAATTAATAAGTAGTCAGTAGGTTATCTTTTTAGATTAATTTTAGCATCATCCTAATTCTATTAAATCAATAATTAAGAATTTACTGTTTTGCATTATGGAATAATTATAAAAAAGTTAAGATTAAGAGTGTAGGCCTACTCGATCTTCTTTTAATTCTGTAAACAAATTACTACTCAGACAAAGTCAAGACATTTAGTTTTGGTTGGAGTAGAGTAAGTTTTGAAATTCTAGGAAAACTAGGTGTGAGACATAGTTTTGAGTTTATCTTTTCCTGGACTAAGGATCTAAAAGACTACAAGTATGAGTTTAGAATGCTACCTCTAATTAATTACATGCAAAATAATTAATCTCAAATTAAAGAAATAAACTTTGATTAGTGAAAGGAAAAAAAATGTTCTTACTTAAATTTCTCTATTAATTGCTTTTAAAGTTAGATGTCTCCAATTTTGTATCGTCTGTGACATCTAGCCAATTGATTTGAAATGTACTTTAGGACTTACCCTAAGGAATGCAATCTTGTTTCTAACATCCGCCACAATAGCATTCCAACTATCCACTGCAGCTTTTAATTGAAGTGATTCTAGGTTGCTGATGTCGAAAAGGAGATAGAAGAGAAAGCACTTTCCTTTTATCTAACATTAGACTTTCAAAAATTTCCATTATGTTTTCTAGCATACATATAAATAACATCAAACAACAAAATTACACCTATTACCAACAATTACCTCAAATGGACACAAAGATATACAGAAGGGCTTATAATTAAAAAAAATAAAAGTGTAAAAAACCCCCCAAAACAAACAAAATATCCCCCACAAAAATGAAAACAAAAACTAGCAATATATGTGTGTAAGAATTCTTTTTATTAAGAGCAAATGTAATTTATGCTTGCAAAACACCACATATTTTTCTATCTTGGCAATACTTTTTTAGGATCTATTATAGAACCTTTGTTCAGGAATAATTCCAATGAAGTAGGGAAGTAGAGAAGGCCAACAGGGAATTGCCTTTGTCATCTAATGCAGGGGCATTCACAAAAATGTTGACCCATCTTGGACTATCTGTTGTACATACAACACATACTAATTTTGACATCACAGAGCCATGGTTGGCTTACATAGTTCCTTTGCAAACTAGAAAAACAAATTGCCTCTGGGAGGGCAAATTAGAAAGAAGCATCTCCTCTTTGTTGATGAATGGGGTTGCTGCCTTGCATAGTGCATAAACTGCACAAACACAGTAGCTGTATTAACCCAGGCCCCCCAAATTACTGAACCAAAATAGCAACAACTTTGAAGTCTCATAGTTTACCATCTCTAAAAAAGAGATTTCATATGGTCTTTCAAAAGGTTCTATATGTTATAATATCTCCACTTCAGAATGACTTAGCTCAACAGTTTTATAAAAGCTGAACAAGTTATAACTTAAATTCATCTCGGATAATGAGGCTTTGTAATATTCTTACTTATAGAGCACCCTTTCTCCTATTAACAAAGAATGAGCATTTGTAACAGTATTTCCCTGACCTGAATCCTTGTCATTATAATCTGGGAATCTTGCTGAACATCATACACTCTGAATCTTCAGCATTAAATAACAAAGAAGATTATTAAAATGACACTCATTTTAAAAAGTGATGATGTCTTGGTCTCAGAGATTCTAATTTAATTAATTCCTTAGGTTTGAAGGTACAGCCCGTAAGATTATAAATTTAAGAATTTCATGCAACCTGTACAATACTGAAAATTAGTCTATAATTACTATAATTTAAAAGTATAGCAGAAAACTGCCTTTAACATCTAATTTTAGGCATTAATATGATTTTTTTCCCTCAGAGTATTCCAAAGGTATTTAAAATTAAGTACTAGAAGGGAAAACAATTAGAAAAGTCTTCCAATTAAAATCCACCTTGTTTTACAAATATCTGGTCTTTCATGCCTATCTCTGATACTTTTGATCTATTTCACTCTAGAGGAAGGGAAAAATCTTTCAGCAACTATTACTGCACTCAGTAACCCTCTTATTGCTTTGGTGGAAATATAAGCACTGAAGTAACTAAATGACTTTTGAGGTTTTAAAAAAACAAGATCTTCTTCACTCCAAAGACTCTGATGTGATATATGTAAAACACATCATAGATATGTTCAACCTTGAGACTATCTCAGAGATCAAGATGCATTAAGGAAGTGGGAAAGGTTACCTTGCTGCCATGTGAGTCACCCTGGCAAGCTGACTGAGACACTCCTTTTCAGTCTGCTCTAGATGAAGCAAACCGAAATCTCTACGACACTGTAAAAAATACACCTACAAGTTTTTGAGAAAAAGAGAAAGAAGTTGAAGGAGTCTTTCTGATAAGTGAATATTATCTTCTCAATCACTCAAGTAAATTGTAAGCCATTTTTTCAGTTTCTTCCAACAGTACCTAAGCTTTTGACCATTCACGATACATCACCAAAACTTTTTGATCCATGCACATATGCAATTCTAATTTATTTCTTCAGTGGTTACTGGGTTAGTAAACTTTCTAGAAAATTAGTTTTCAAACTTGAACTCATATTTGAATCATCTATCAAACTAAAAAAAATGATAGCTTGGTTCCAGAGATCCTAATTTGATGGGTACTGGGTACAGCATGGGCACTGGGATTTTTAAAGGCTCTCAGGTAACTCTAACATGCAACTAAGTTTGAGATCACTCAAAAGAAGGCTCGTTCTCTTTTTTTTCCCCCATTGATGAAGAGGTAATAAAATAATCAGACCATACAGAGGGATACAGTAACAACAGGCCTTCGAGGTCATCTCATTCAATGTCCCTCTCATAGCAGGAATCCTTTCCGCATCATTACTGATGCAAAATCATTTAGCCTCTGTTTTTTACTACTAATCACTCAACAGTCACCAAAATATACACTCTCGGAAAACATTAAGTATTAGAAAGTTCTTCCTTCTTAAAATTAATAAAGGAAGAAGAAGGAGACCTTCTGACCAAAAAACAGTGAAAAACAAATCAAAGTATACTTGATCTTTTAAAGTAATGTGAACGTTTTCTTTTGTTAAAGCTCGTTCCTCAATACTATTTATTCTTCATAAATTTTTGATTCAGGTTTCACTCTTTGGTTGTTGACTTCTGGAACGCCAAGTACACTGCTAGAAAGTAGAGCTTAACCATAACGGAGATGGAAAAGGTTTTGATGTCAGCAAGCTCTCCAAAAATGTAAATCCTATTATATATCAAGTTTGATTATCTATAACCAAAAATTACATACACACATATGATCACATTTCTTTTGAGAGATTCCAGCTGTGGTGTTCTAAGTTAAAGAAGAAATTGAGTGACTATGGGAATCTGGAAACTATGTTAGTTTTTGACAATGATGTGTATGTGTTTTTGGAAGATCAATACAAGAAATAGTAGGCAAAGAAAATACTATGACAGCACTAAAATGTTATTCTAAGAAGTTCTGCTTAAGTGACCTGGCTTCATGAGAACTTTCCCAGAATATTTGTATTTTCTAAGGATACTGCAACAAAACACTTTCTTGGAGTCATTAGGGTAAAACACTGAAGTATTTTCATATATGATATGCCAAAGACTCAAAAAACCCCCAAAACTTTGACATGTGTTTTCCTGGCTGGTCCTAAGATGTCTTATTTCTATTTATTCAAAAACAGTCTTTAAAATATTCTTTAGGATGCTACTATACAGGTAAAATTTTCCTCTCACCCTGTGCCCACAGCCCCTTTGTCCTTACCTCAGCTGTTAAAGCTCTGCTAGTTTCTGCATTCAGTTTGCTTAAGTATGTTTTCATTGTACTTTCCAGATTATGTTTCTCCATTTCCCACTGAGATCTGAAATATATATATGATCATTACAGAATCAGCAATATTACAGCAAGGACAGTCTTTTTCATCTTATTCAGAAGGAAGGTACATTGTACAATTAGTAGAAAATTATTTCTTAAAAAAAGTATAACAGCACGTAAGAGAAGACATTCATCAACCCTACTGTTATCATTTACTACTGAAGAATGTGTAAGTTCTAAAGTTGTCGAGATAGAGGTTATGATTTAAAACTTGGCTCTGAAATCAAGTTGTCTGAGGATGAATCTTCCTCCATTAAATATAAAACCTTGGGCAAGTACAGTGGACTGAATATTTGTGTCCCCCCCCAAAATTCATGTGTTGAAATTCTCACTTCTAAGGTGATAATATTGGGAGGTGACTGATTAATGACAAAGCCTGAGAGTTCCCTTGCTTCCCTTTTCCCTCACCCCCACCATGTGAGGCTACTACGAGATGGTCATCGTGAGGAAGCAGATCCTCACCATACACTGAATCCACGGGCACCCTGGCCTCGGACTTCCTAGCCTCCACAACTGCAAGAAATGTATTTCTGTTGTTTATAAGTTACCTAATCAATGGTATTTTATTACAGCAGTGCAAAATTATGATGGCAAGTTACTTAATTTCTGTATATTTCAATTTCCTCACATAAAAATTTAGAGAACTGTATTACTCGCCTCAAAGCGCTGTTGTGAAAATTCATTCAGATAAATATACATAAAGAACTTTGCAGGGGGGAGGGAGGGGGGAGACGGTGGAGGGAGAGGGATTCCAGGGTTCACTTCTGCGGTTCATCTTGCAAG